CTAGCCCTGGTGAAGTCGGAGCTGCAGAAGAGACACACGTGCACAGACCTGGGTGAGCTCACAGCTACCTTGGATTGCAGATCACCCGAGACGAAGCACGCCGCACCATCACACTGACTCAGTCACACATGGTGCAGCGGGTCCTTCGGCGCTTCGGCTTCACCTGGTCCTCGGTTCAGGCCACTCCTCTGGCTACAGGTCACTCGCTCTCAGCTCTGCCTTCAAACGAGTTCGTAGAGCCGAGTGGTCGTTACCCAGAGCTAGTGGGCTCCCTCATGTACCTGATGACCTGCACTCGTCATGACCTTGTGTACCCTCTTGACCTTCTGGCTCGCTACGTGGCTCCTGGTCGGCACCGAAAGGTGCACATGGATGCTGCTAAGAGGGTACTACGCTACTTGTGCAGTACGTCGTGCATGGGGCTCGTGCTTGGAGGACTGGGCGATGTTGTCCTCACTGGTTCTTTAGATACTTCTTGGGTCGACGACTTGGCTACGCAGCGGTCGTCACAGGGTTAGACCTTCAGCCTTAGCTCTGGCTCTGTTTCTTGGCGGTCTACACGCTCTTCCTCTGTTCTCAGCTCCAGTTGCGAGGCTGAGATCTACGCCACACCCATGGCTGCACAGGAGTTACGCTGGCTTACCTGCTGACCGACTTAAGAGAGCGGCCTCGTTCTCCTCCAGTGCTGTACGTAGACAACAAGGCCGCCATTGCCTTGTGTCAGGAGCACATAATGGAGCACAGAATGAAGCACATCGCTCTGCGTCACTTCCTTGCTTGAGAGTTGCAGGAGCGTGGTCAGCTTCGTCTTGCTCACTTGGCCACTCAGGCCAACACTGCTGATATATTCACCAAGGCACTTCCGCCTGTGATCATCAGCGCTTTTGTATTTTGTCGGGCCTTGCGCATACGTTTCCTCACTTGCTGTAGGCTCTGCCTGTACTGTGATCTATATATACATATACCTGCATGCTTGCTCCTGGTAGGTAGAGATCACTGTGGTGTTGTTGTTACATTTATACCTCTGCCCGTAAACTGGCCTTGTGGCCCTTTGCTTATGCTCAGTGTGTGTGGTGACGTTGTGATCCACCTTGAGCTTGCTTTGCTTCTCTTGACTACTCTTGTAACCCCTTGCTCTCCCCCACTTTTCCTATGGGGGTGTGTCAAATTATATGCATGTTATATATGTGTAGGTTGTATTGGGGTAGCCAATGTGGGGTACAACCCCATTAGGGTTACATATTTGTACCAAACCCTGATCTAGTCAATCCATTCCAGCTACTAGATTCTAACAAATATACATCCCTCAATGGCCAATGGGGGGTGGTAGCCTCCAGGTAGGACAATATATACCCCTCTGAGGCACTTCACAATAAACCCTTCTTCTTGGTTGCGGCCTCGCCTTCAGACGTGGAAAGGGGTTGATTTCACTGCTGCTAGTGAGCTGTAGTCCCAAGGTGCCTCAAAAGTTTTCAGATCTGGAAAGGCGGTGGAGGTGGTTTGGTGCTGCTAGTGCGTTATTCTTTCGAGGCGCCTCGGAGGTTTTCAGATCTGGAAAGGTGGGGGTGGGTTTGCTGCTGCTAGTGAGCTGTACTTTGGTAGCCCCCAAGCTCGCGCCATTGTTTGCTTCCACACCCTACAGGTTGATCAGGGGTGGGGGGGTGGGTGTGTGGGGTGAAGGATGAAAGAGGAGCTTCTGGTAAGCAGGAGCTACTGCTTGTGAGCTGTGCTTTGGTAGCCCCCAAGCTCGCGCCATTGTTTGCTGCCACACCTTGCTGGTTGATCGGCGGGTGGTAGGTTTGGGGTTGGGGGTGGGGTTGATCTTGGAAAGCAGGAGCTACAGCTAGTGAGCTGTGCTTTGGTAGCCCCCAAGCTCGCGCCATTGTTTGCTGCCACACCTTGCTGGTTGATCGGCGGGTGGTAGGGTTGGGGTTGGGGGTGGGGTTGATCTTGGAAAGCAGGAGCTACAGCTAGCGAGCTGTGCTTTGGTAGGCCCCGAATCCTTGCCATTGCTTGCTTCCACTCCTTGCAGATTAACCGGGAAGGGGATGGGTTGGGGGTGGGGGTGGGGGTGGGGGTGTGGGTGGGGGTGGGGTTGGGGGTGGGGGGAGGGAAGGAGGGAAGAAGGAGGACTTGGTAAGCAGGAGTGGCTGAAGACGCTAATGTCATCCCACACACCATGCTGTCACCTCAACACGCACCCTCCAGTCCTCCACTCCACCCAAGGTTTAGCAGCTCTATCTGCACGCCCAGAGACTGCTGCAACGCGTCCAACTGCCACGCAACCCACTCACTCACTCCCTCCGAAACCCTTGCAGTGATCACAACACGCACCTCCATTCAACCACCAACACACGATGCTGTCCCACCTGATGCCTCAATTCCCCCCCCTGACGCACCTCCAGTTCTCCACCATACCCTTGGGGTCCAGACCAGGTTCAACAGCTCTATCTGCACGCCTAGAGACTGCTGCACTGCAGCTAGCTCCCTACCAAAGACCCCACCGTCCCACCACCCACCATGCCTTACTTCTCCCCCCTAACGCTCACCTCCAGTCCTCCACCATATCCTTGGGGTCCATATCAGGTTCAGCAGCTCTATCTGCACGCCCATGCTGTCTCACTCACTCACCCACCCACCCATGCCTTACTTCTCCCCCCCTAACGCACCCGCAGTCCTCCACCATGTCTTTCGGGTCCAGGTTCAGCAGCTCTATCTGCACGCTTAGCGACTGCTGCGGGCGCGTCCAGCTGCCGCTCCAACTGAGAGGCAACCCATCCACTCTCCCCTACTCCCATGTCCACGCTGCCTCATTTATCCGACCATCCAGTCAACCCCATCGCACCTCCAGTGCTCCACCATATCTTTTCGGGTCCAAATTCAGCAGATCTATCTGCGCGACTACAGACTGCTGCAGTGTGCCCAGCTGCCGCTCCAACTGCAGCAAGGCAACGCTCTCACTGACCCCCACACCATGTCATCCGATGCCCCCACGTAGTCAACTCAACACGCACCTCCAGTCCTCCACCACATCCTTTGGGTCCAGGTTGAGCAGCTCTATCTACACGCCTAGAGACTGCTGCATTGTGCCCAGCTGGCAGGCAAACCACTCACTCTCACCCACACACCCGTGCAGTCAACTCAACACGCACCTCCAGTCCTCCACCATGTCCTTGGGGTCCAGGTTGAGCAGCTCTATCTGCACTCCCAGTGACTGCTGCAACGCGTCCAGCTGCCGCTCCAACTGCCACGCAACCCACTCACTCACTCACTCACTACGGAACCCATGCAGTGAATACAGAACGCACTCATTCCCACTCCCTGCAGCCAACCCGCCCACACATGTTGTCAACCCCTCCCTCACCTCCAGTCCTCCACCATGACTTTCACACCTGGGATGGGAACGTGGTTCCATGCACCCACAACCTCAGGTAGGTTTCAAAGGTTTCACGGAACCTCTGAAACCTTTCAAACCTCATGAAACCTTTGCAGGAACCTCATGAAACCTTTGCAGGAACCTCATGAAACCTTTGCAGGAACCTCATGCCACGATCATTCTGCACCATGCCCTGGCTCGCATGCTCACCACGGCCTGACCTCCCCCTCACGTGCATCACTGGCTCGCTGCTCTGCTCCCCCCCTTCCTCCTCCAGCAAAACGACCAACCAAGAATGCAGCACCATGTGAGGGGCGGGAAATTGCTGCGCAATGAAGCCAGCGTCTCAGGCAGTCACTGGCGAGTCACTGACGAGTTACTGTGAGGAATTCCCTCGCTTCCCAACTCCACCAGCATCCTCCTACCTTCGCACGTCCCGTGGGCGTAAGAATTTGAAGTACCCAGGTTAGAGGCACTGAAGGGCGTGCATGATGCCACCATCACTTTGATCAGACTTTGCAAGTGCATAGATTGCATCACTCCACCTCCCCCCCTCCCACAGCCAGTGGTACGAGCCTCTCACAGCCAGTGGTACGAGCCTCTCACAGCCAGTGGTACGAGCCTCCCACAATGCAGTAGCAGCCCAGGGAAAGGTACTCCCTTGGCAAAACGTCACCGGGATCTCGGGAAGGCAGCGGCGAGGCGAGTCGCCATGAGCATGGGACGCAGATTCGGAGCATTGACAACAGGAGGCCGCGGAGCTTTGGGCTCCCTGCTGCTACTGTTGCTCGCTCCTCCATCCCCATCAGTCCGCCTCCTTGGATAACAATCATCAACATCCGCCACTGTAGCCATGTGACTAACCCCTTAAACATCCCTGCCGTTCACACCAATCCCGATAGAGAGCAGGCTACTCCACTCCACATAAAGGTCCTCAAGAGGCCAGTCATGCCTCACTATAAGCGTCTCCACTGTTGGTGCTATGCTGCTGAGTAACTAGGAAGTGCCATGCCACTGCGCCGGTGACGTTGCTAAGGTGAAAGCGAGGGGATGGCGCGGCGACCAGGCTAGACCAGAACGGTTACCACATAACCCAGGTTCCTCTTGGCTGGTGGGTCCGTTCAGGTATACAGTGGCGGTAGATGCGAGAGGGGGTGAAGAAACGGTGAGCCTCTTGCGGCCGACCAACGTGAGAAAGTCGAGAGAGGGAGGGCTGCTGGCTGGCATGACAGGCGAGTTTCAGCGACTCTTCTGTAACTGAGAGAGCTTTTAAAGACGCAGGGAGGGAGAGGCGCATGTCCAAATTTTGATTCTCACAGCTGATGTTGAGTGGTGAGTAGGAATTCAAGGTCAGTGTGTGGTGTCTGTTTTTGGAACCAGGCTAGTGTTGTCTGCCACTGGGCTAGGGGAAGTCGTGGCTGAAGGCGAGCATGATGGGCTGAAGCTCCTGCACGCACAGCACACACACAGGGATGGTGGCGACGGCCAGTTGACTTTTGAGTCGCCTCAAAAAGGTCAACTTGTTTCCTGCCATTTTGGGACGTCGTGGCAGAAGGCGAGAATGATGGGCTAAAGCTCCTGCACGCACAGCACACACAAGGATGGTGAAGGCGACTTGCACGATATGGAAATATGGCAACTTGTGGCTCGGCATGGAATGGCACGGCATCTAGACAAACTAGTCTCACGCCATGAATGTACACATGCAAATGGGACGAACGGGGCAGAACCACGGCATTGGCTCACGGTGGAGGAGAGGACAGCGCCTCAGAGCATTGGCTCACGGTGGAGGAGAGGACAGCGCCTCAGAGCATTGGCTCACGGTGGAGGAGAGGACAGCGCCTCAGAGCATTGGCTCACGGTGGAGGAGAGGACAGCGCCTCAGAGCATTGGCTCACGGTGGAGGAGAGGACAGCGCCTCAGAGCATTGGCTCACGGTGGAGGAGAGGACAGCGCCTCAGAGCATTGGCTCACGGTGGAGGAGAGGACAGCGCCTCAGAGCATTGGCTCACGGTGGAGGAGAGGACAGCGCCTCAGAGCATTGGCTCACGGTGGAGGAGAGGACAGCGCCTCAGAGCATTGGCTCACGGTGGAGGAGAGGACAGCGCCTCAGAGCATTGGCTCACGGTGGAGGAGAGGACAGCGCCTCAGAGCATTGGCTCACGGTGGAGGAGAGGACAGCGCCTCAGAGCATTGGCTCACGGTGGAGGAGAGGACAGCGCCTCAGAGCATTGGCTCACGGTGGAGGAGAGGACAGCGCCTCAGAGCATTGGCTCACGGTGGAGGAGAGGACAGCGCCTCAGAGCATTGGCTCACGGTGGAGGAGAGGACAGCGCCTCAGAGCATTGGCTCACGGTGGAGGAGAGGACAGCGCCTCAGAGCATTGGCTCACGGTGGAGGAGAGGACAGCGCCTCAGAGCATTGGCTCACGGTGGAGGAGAGGACAGCGCCTCAGAGCATTGGCTCACGGTGGAGGAGAGGACAGCGCCTCAGAGCATTGGCTCACGGTGGAGGAGAGGACAGCGCCTCAGAGCATTGGCTCACGGTGGAGGAGAGGACAGCGCCTCAGAGCATTGGCTCACGGTGGAGGAGAGGACAGCGCCTCAGAGCATTGGCTCACGGTGGAGGAGAGGACAGCGCCTCAGAGCATTGGCTCACGGTGGAGGAGAGGACAGCGCCTCAGAGCATTGGCTCACGGTGGAGGAGAGGACAGCGCCTCAGAGCATTGGCTCACGGTGGAGGAGAGGACAGCGCCTCAGAGCATTGGCTCACGGTGGAGGAGAGGACAGCGCCTCAGAGCATTGGCTCACGGTGGAGGAGAGGACAGCGCCTCAGAGCATTGGCTCACGGTGGAGGAGAGGACAGCGCCTCAGAGCATTGGCTCACGGTGGAGGAGCCTCTTGCTAGTGACAGCAGTGCAGAGCAGAGGCCACACGGAGTTGTGCAGCGTGTTGTTCTCACCATGTTGCACCCTGGCGGTCAGCAAGTTGACTTTTGAGTTGACCCAAAAGTCAACTCGAGGCCACGCGGAGCCGTGCAGCTTGTTCTCACCATGTTGCACCCTGGCGGTCAGCAGGTCCACCAAGGCACTAGAACTGCTGTCTGGTCCCCACGATGATATTCCCTCTGAAGAATTCTCCCGGTTCTGCTGCAGCTGAGCGGAATATGCTGGTGGAAGCACAGCAGCAGGTGGCGGAGGATGATGTGCCGGATGGGGCCGGGTTTTGAGGCGCCTCAAAAACAGATGTGGCCAAGCATCAGATCAACCACGTTCTGGATCAGGTGCGTGGGGGAGAGATGAATGAAGAAAAACGTTCCACGCTCGGAATCCTTCGGCGGCAGCAACAGGTGGCGGAAGATAATGCGCCGGATGGGGCCGGGCAGCAGAGCAACCACGTCGTGGATCAGGCGGGTGGGGGATGAGAAGCACTGGAGATGAGAGCGGAAGAGAGCGGGAGAGAGAGAATAGGAGAGGACTCGGGGATGATGCGCGAGGAAAAGGGGGAAGTTAGAGTTGAATTTGCTGTTCACAACATCAAGCTCACCTCGTGAGAATGCCCAGCACCGGAGGAGGGTTACTCTCAAAGAACATACTCGAGGAAACGGGAAAGTCGGATTCACTGTTCGCAACATCACGCTCACCTCGTGAAGTTGCCCAGCACCGGGGGGCTGTGAGGGCTGTGTGAGTTGGAGTGCAGCCATGGTCTCGTTCAAAACTGCATCGCCATGGCTGGAAGCCATCGGCCCGGTGACAATTCCGGGATTCAATTCGTCTCGGGTTACAAAAAAGTCGTCAGATGTTCGAATAAGACTCGTTGCTGGAGGGTTACAATACGGAGGGTCTCATGGAAGCAAAACCAATACTCTTTAGGTCCACTTAGCATTGCTTTCGCTGACGATGAGTTGAGTTCGCGAACCTCAAAGCTCAGATACTCTGCAAGTCTTCTCCTGGTCGCTCGCCGTACTCACACCATCGTGCAAACCCTACCCCCCTCGCCGGTCAAGGTCAGCCACGACATGACGAGACTCGCCTGTCGTCGCCATAGCGGCGCGGCGGCAGTAAACAGCGACGAGGCGGGCTGAGTGAGTTCGCCGTAGCAGCGCGACACGGCGCGGCGCGGCGGGCAAAACGGGGAAAAATCACGGACACGGCGAAAGGACGGTGAGGTAGGCCCGCTGTGCGTTCCGCAGAGCGAAGGCTGCGAGTCGCCATCTTCTATGAAATCTAGACACATCGAAACAATGCATGGCGAGAAGCATGCTGCTTTGGCCCCCAGAGTTGGATGGCTGACCAGTGTGGCAGCAGCAACTGGATCAGTGCAGTCAGTAATAGAATCGTCTTACCTGAACTTCTGGAGGACTTCCTGCTCTTACAGCCTCAAAGCCAGGGTCTCATGTAAGCTAGGTAACCAAGTTAGTGCTGGCGAAGTTGTCTCTGGTTGGATTGGAAACTCAGCTTGCGTCACTGCGCCAAAAGCAATTGCACAACACTTATGGGTACTCGAACCAAGTTTCCAAGCCTAGATGGTTCGGTTGCCCCCAGCGATTTACTTTCGCTTCGCACCCCTCGCTTCACCCCACTTCGAACCTTACACCTCGCCAACCAATCAAAGCCACACTTTCACCAACAATTGCAAAGCACTTGTAGTACGTGAGACCCTGGCTTCAAGCATATGTTCATTCGTGACACGGCATCACAAGTACCGTAATATGGGTATCAGGGAAAATGAGTGGGATCACAAATAATGCAGGAGTTCTCAGCGAATCAGTATAACAAATTTGTACAGTAATAGCAGTGGCGAATCTGAACCTGCGAATGTTGCATTGGCCGGGCATCACGCCGCGACTATCGGTTGCAAATTGATTTGTCCAAATATTTTGGAAATGCCAGCTTGGCCGCCGCCTCCTCCTCCTCCTCCTCCTCCTCCTCCTCCTCCTCCTCCTCCTCCTCCTCCTCCTCCTCCTCCTCCTCCTCCTCCTCCTCCTCCTCCTCCTGCCCATGCCCCTGCTCACGCTCCTCACGCTCCTCCTCGTTATCATCCTGATCATCGGTGGCATCCTCCTCCTCCTCTTCCTGGTCTGCGGTCCTCGCCACAGCCCTTTCTGCCTCCTCATCTGCCTTGTCGACGCCGTCTCCGGCCTCTCCGCTAGTGTCGGCGACACCGACTGCTTGGGATGTCGAAGGGGGCTCCGTGGCGTCGTCGTCAAAGGTGTCGGCAACAACTCCGACATGGCCTGACCGTTTGCGTGCGACATGTTCCTTGATGAATGTGATCATCCAAATCCGCAGCTCCTTCAACCCCAAAACGAGAACCTTGTCCATGCTAGTCGCACAGCGACGGTCGTCGCCGGTCAGGCGATCCATCCTCTTCACCACCCAGCACAGCGCGCTCATTGATAGGAGGCCAGAGCCCGCGTCGCTGTCCCGGACGGTGTCGCGCACTTTCTGCAAACAACAGACCAGAGAGCAAGGATGAGCACGGACGGCGGCAATGGCATCGCGCTAGGACGGTAAAACGATCGGTACTCACATCTCGAACGAGTTCATCGCAGTCGGCGAGCCTGTCCGCCACCTCTTCAGCAGAAGGCTTCAGCCACTCCCACTGCCGGCCATCGCGGCCGAGCTCGGCCAGCACCGCCGCCCGGAAAAACCTGAAGCAACATGGCACATATCGTCAGTAGACTTGCTTAACGCCCAGCGGCAAAACTGCATGCGTCGTCGACTACACTATCGAGCTCACTTCAGCACGCGGATCGCCTCGTCGCGGTGCCACTGCTTCACGGTTTGCGGGTCAAAGTGCCGGACCGAGGTCCTGATCGTCTCCCCCCCGGCCCGCAACAAGTCGCCGGGGTACAGGATGACCACGACGCTGCAATGTGCTCCCGGAAGCGGTGCGATGCTGCACAGGCTAGGCACCACGACGTCGATCAAAATGGAGCAGCGACATAGGCATCATGGCACACCATCATGACTTAGGCTCACCTCAAATGCAGGGGGATAACAGCTACGTCGGCGTCGAACACCGTAGCAAAGCATGAGTGGTCTTCCTTGCCCATCGCCGCCCGAAGCCGGCCGAGTCCTATCGACCACAATCGCATGTTGGCCGGCTCCGCGCGAATCCATGCGTGCCTGCACGCATGCATGGGTAGTAGATGTGTGTGAGGACCTGCAAGGCACGACGGATGGACACGTGGGTTCTGGAACCGACAAATGACGGGGATGGCGATAGTACAACGGTGCACCGCCGACTCGATGTTGTAATCAATGGCGCCTACCGTTGCGGGCACCGACCTACTGTTGCGATCGGAGTCCGGTGCCGACTCACGGCTGTGTGCGTCACCGAGTAGTGATCTAAACCCTAAACTAGTAGCACCGACCAAAACGTGGGACAACCCTAACAACATCGACCTTCAAGGTATCCAGAGGTCGACGCCGACATCCCAATACAGACACTCACTTGAGGCCGAATCCCAAGCAACGGGCGTTGAACTCTAGCCTGTGGTCTACGAGGACGGCGTATTTGTGTTTGTCGAGCTTGGCAGTGAGTCCACTACCCAGGTCGAGATACAGAGGGAAGTCCTGCGAAGTCGGCGTCACTTTGCTGACTTTCGGGGCGGCCGACATGGCGGGGAAGGGAAGCGGCTACAAGCTAAGGTACGTGAATGTGGGAGAAGGTGCAGAGCTGGGGAAAAGGTGGAAAGGGAAACGAGATGCCGAAAATGAGGAGCGATGCCCCCTTCCACCAAGAAAAGGGGGTCGGTGCCCCATAGGAACGGTCGAGGCATCGCCCGGCCCTCGTGATGCCTGCCTCGGCGGGGTTTGGCGGGTTCGTGCACAAGTGGCACAAGTACTCATTCGCCGCCGAGCTAGCAAGTTGATGTCACGTCCCGTGGCCTCGGTCGGTCATGGGACGCAATTTCGCATGCGTGCGGTGCATCGTTTCGTCCGACACGTGTCGATTTCGGAGCCGATCGCGAAAAATGTGCACCGCGAAGCGATCGAAATCGAATTCGCAATGTCCCAAATTCTTCATGTTGCCCGATGCGAAGTAGTGGGCAAACACGTGGCGTCACCGCAATGGGTCGCGAAATTGTCGAGTGTCCCGAGGGGGCCGCAAATTTTCGCCTGGCCCTCGCCTGCCCGTCTGGGCAGGCCGCGATGGGTTACTAGGACCTCGCGGGCAGGTGGCACGTGTGGGCTGCCTTCGCGCGAGGGTAATTTTCCCATGCGCGAGTTGTCGCCAGTTCGCCGACCCCACCCGGTAACGTGGGCCGCTGTTCACATTCGGAGCGGGGCTGCGGGGCGGCGGTCGTGCGCTCGGCCCAGCCCTGGGCCAGGCTCGCGGGCCCGCACGCGCGTCAGTGCTCCGTCCCGTCAGCCCAAGCTTTGACGACCCCCCTCGACGACACTGGCAATTCCGTTCTGTCGACCGAATTCCGACGAGGCATTCGGCCCCGCCAGCGCTGCTGTGGAAACTTTCGCAGCACTGGAAGGGAATTCCATTCGTTGGAAGGAAAATCTATTCGCATTTTTCGCACCAGCCTGCGATGCGATGCATAACGAGCTACTTCAGCATTTGGTTCGACCTGGCGCGAAACAAGAAATGTCATCCCGCCACCAGAGAATCTTTTCCAACCCTCCCCTATCTCCGAGGGCCTGAGCCCTCTCCCGCTCCCAGGCACGGCGCGAACATCACACGCTGTATTACAGAAACATGTGCTACGAAAGTCTGGGTTTCCGCAGCCGCTGTGCTTGGGAAAGTCTCACCTGTGTGTACGCCGAAACATGCGTAACATTCACGCGACGCACCGCGTGTGAGCGTCACGCACAGCGTGTGAGCGCCACGCACAGCATCGCAAAGAGAAACGGCTATGTCGTGGGAGTCCCAACCGCACAACGACCCCACTCCTAGTAATGGGGAGACCTATATAACACGCTCGTCATCTCTCATTTCCATCAGTAGACGCTCACCTTCTCCCAAACATCCCAGCCAACCACCTATTCTGCTCACCAGCTATTCCTCTCACGCTTCACTATCCGAGTCAGTATCAATTTCTTTGCCATGGCTCTGATGAAGCAAGGTGCTGCCACCACGGCTGCGGCGCTACCGTTGCTTCTGTTTGTGCTGCTATTGACGACAGCCGCGGCTGGTAAGGTCCCGGTGCATTCCGGTTCAGATTCGGTGGTTATACTTGAGTGAGGGTACTAAGCTTGGCTGGTAAAGATATAGTATTCGTATAGTAGTTCATTCCCGTTCCGAACGGTATGGTCTATCTGGAGAATCGGCATGTGGGTGAAGTTCTATCATGTTTATTTGCAGTGGATGCTACTAGTACCACAAGTTTTGATACAATGGTAGTCTTCTGACCTAAGGCCCTTCCGTTGTTCTCTGCGTGGCAGCATCCAAGGGATTCTCCACCCCGCGGCGCATTCTGCAACTCCATGCGATTGCGGGCCGCGGCGGCTACCTAAAAACCAACGTGACCACCCCAACCGTCGTGAAAGTGGAAGCTTTGACCGAGACAGCCACCACACGCATGAAAATGGCAAAACCGGAGACGGCGGAGCATCTCATGAATACTGGCAAGGTTGAGCCGACAATGGCGAAAACCTTGTCCCCCTCGACCCCTGTGAAAATGGCGAAAACCTTGTCCACCTCGACCCCTGCCGCTGTGAAAATGGCAAAATCCAAGCCCTAGTAGGGCATTCCGGGGCCTTCCTTCACCTCCTCTTCCTTGTGCTGTGGCTGGTTGCTCAGCCTCGGCAACACCACTCGCACTTTAGCGAGCTGCCAATGGTCAGCACATGAGGACTAGTTGTGTCAGTGAGGGGCTGTAGGTTTTTTGTGCAGAGTATTTGTTCTGGGTTTGTTGTAGAATAGGTTTGTGTTTGCGTGTATTGTGTTTATGGAAGCTGGCTCATTCAACCTTGGCGCCTTCCACTAATGAGCTACAGGAACAAACAAAACGCAATCACATAACAAAGCTACAACTTTTCTCGTACATACGATGCACTCTTGCGTAATAAAGAAACAGGAATAGCAAGTGGTGGTACTAGGCAAGTGTTTTCCCTGTTCCCCAGGCCTCTCGATATCAGGGTGAAACACCCTTATGGCCCTTACTATAAGGGTGGGTTTAGGTCTTCACCCTTGTTTTCAAAAGTTGGTTTATGAAGCACACTTAGACGGAAAAGTGTGCATTTTGTTAACACTTATATTTAAGACATGCTGGGTGTACTCGCCCTGATGACCAAGACTAGTGTCGCGTACCACCCTGATGCGATTTGACGGGAGGGGGGGGGGGGGGGGGGGGGCTACTCACGAGATTTGGGCCGCGATTAGCGGCGTTTTGCCTGAGTCAGCAGATGCGCGTCGCCTAGACGGCTCGCGTCGCCACTGCCACGGTACCGTGAACTGTACCTGACTCACCTGCCATTATCACAGCTGACAATGCCGCGCAGCGCCACACACTCCTACTTCGTGCTGAAGGTGTGTCCTGCGTAGAAGCATCTTCTTCCCTTTCCATCCATCCAGCAACCCCCCCCCCCTCCACCCACCTACCGACCAGTCTCACGCACGCACCCAACCCCAGTCCTCCTCGTTTCGTCTCTCTCCATCTTTCCTCCTTGCCATCTCCTCTAGCCTAGGGTTTGCAACCACGCCACGCCATCACGCTCTCTTACAGCCAGCCTAGGCCCAGCTCGTCGATCCACCTTCTGATCCTCGCCATGGCTGTTGATGAGACCAGTGATGGTGACGACGAAGCAAGTGGTCATGTCCAGAATTCACCCCCGCGAACGGGCCTCAGCTTTCTACGAACCCCCGCCTTGAAGCTTCCCGTTCCGCAGCCTGTAGTTGATTCTACCGAGAATGAAACCCGTGTGGATGAATCGGGCCGTGACCTGCGCTCACCTGAACTTTGCACTACAACGACCGAACCTACTCTTCCAGAGGCGACGGCTCCTGTAACGGAGATCGACGCTGCGGTTGACGACTCCGCGACCAAGAAGCGCAAGGATTCAAGCGGTGGCAGTGCTAAGCAGTGGTGGCGACAACCGAACCTCTTTTCGAAGCGAGCCGCACGTCCAACCATACGAGTGGAGGACCGGGGGAGTGATGACGAGGAGGAAGAGGACGACCTGCCGACTGTAGAAGAGATGGCCCGTTACCCCGAAGTCGCTTTCGCTATGGCGCACAAGCGATTTAAAACGTCATGGGAATCCTCGTTTCCGTGGCTTATTCTAACTCGTGACGACGTTGGCTTCCCTATTTTGAGATGCAGCACGTGCTTGGAGCATGGAGCGGAAGGCGCGAAAACGGCATACGGCAAGGGAGGCAGTGGAGGGCGTGACATGCAAAAGGCCAGCATCCGGACGCACCAGCGCTCCACCGCACACCAGGACGCTCACGGCGAGATGAAGGCGAAGGAGAGCCGGAAGCTTCGACAGGCGTTGCTGAGCGAGTTCGAGGGATTGGATAGGAGCACGCTTCACATCATCACCGCGCTCAAGACCACCGTGTACATCTGCAAGTCGGAGGCGCCAATCACCTCCTACGTGGGCACTATCAAGTTCATGGCCGACCTCGGAGTCCCGAACCTGCCTCTGGATTCCAAAGGCAACTACTTTTCGGAGTAAGTTGTCTCGGGGTGCTGTCGTTGTACTTGTTCAGTTTGCATTGCCTTGATTGGAAACGTGCTAACCTGTTTTAATGGCTTATGCAGGTACGGTTTCGCGGAATTACTAGATGCGGTCGCGAAGTACATGCGGCAAGAGCAACTGAAGCACATCGGGGCGAGCCCGTACCTCTCCATACAGCTCGACGAGAGTACAGACAAGGCGCGCGGCAAGCACATGATAGTCTACGCGACTTTCATGAAGGACGGGGAGAGCGTCTGTGAGTTTCTCACGCTGCTGACGGTTGGCAAATGTGACGCGGCAACTCTCACCGACGTGCTTTTGACCCACCTAGACGCGGTGGGCATTGACATTGCCAGGATCGTCGGAATCAGCACCGACGGCGCTGCTGTCATGACGGGCAGCAACAACGGTGTTGTGGCACGACTCCGGGCGAAGAATCCGTACCTCGTGTCGTGCCACTGCGTCGCACACAGGTAAGTCGATCTGTGGTATTGGCTTTAAGGCAGGTGTGTTGTGCTGCTCATGCCCTGCTCACTCATTCTAATCACTCCTTTTCTCTGTTTTGCATTGAGCAGGGAGGCTTTGGCCGCGAAGGATGCCGCGGAGAAGGTGCCAGAGTTCAACATCATCGACCAGGCGGTGCGCAATGTGGCGGAGCAGCTATCTAGGTCGAGCAACTGGCACAGGCGCTTCGAGCATCTTCAGGAGTACATCTGCGAAACCAACTTGGAGCTGCAGGGGATCAACGACGTGCGCTGGCTCTCTCGAGGGGAGGCGGTCAAGCGGTTCGCCAAGGTTCTGCCGGCCACGATCGTGTTGCTAAACGACTTCAAGCACGCGCTCTATGAAGTTGTTACCTCGTTCAAATTCCACTTCATGCTCTTCTTCCTTGCAGACATTCTTGCCGTGCTCAACGACCTCAACGCCAAGTTCCAGAAGCAGCAGGTGACGTGTGGGGTGTTGATTTTGTACATATTTGCCGTCGTTTCCCATCTTGGTAGCATGTTTACCGGTCTAGTTCCCCGTTGTTGTTAGTGGCGGAAGGTTGCCGTTGTTAACCATCGTAAATCAACCTCTGGCAGCAACTCCACATCCCATTCCCACTCACAGGTAGACATCACGGTGGTCGCAGGGGAGGTGTCGCTCGCTTGCAGGACGATCGAAGTGCGTTACGTGGACTGCGAGGATCGATTCGGCAACGAGCAATCGCCCTTGCTCTGTGCGTTCTTGAAGAAGCATGGCAACCCCGACCACCGCGAGGTCACCGTCAAAGGCGTGGACCAGAATGGCGATGCTGCTGAGCACAAGTTCGTGCTTCATGAGCGCAAGATCCCTGGGCATACGACTGGCGGTGACTACTACTCCTGCAAGGCGGTGTGCCAGGAGTTTGCAAAGGCCTGCGTTGAGCGACTCGAGTTCCGCCTTGAAGACCTGAACGACCTGGCCGGGTCCAAGCTTTTCCGGCCTTCGTGCTATCCCGACGACAACGCGCAGCGGATGAAGAAGTGCCGCGAGTGGTTGGGCATGTTGGACCACATGTTTCACCGCCGCCTCCCTGGTACGCCACCTAGTTGAGCCTGACATGTGCTGTCTGCTGTGTGTGTGTGTGTGTGTGTGTGTGTGTACCCTGGTCTGCTGCTAAACACCTCTTATACGCACCGACCGCCCCCCTCACTGCTCTCCCATACTGTCAGGTGTGTGCTTGAAGGCGTGCGTGAGGGAGCTGCCGTTGTTTCTCCACACCATGGATACCAACCACGGCAACATGAGCTTCCACAAGTCCCTCTCGCTTATGCTGCAGTCAACCGACTACATGGGCGCTTACCCGAACCTTGTGCAGCTGTGGCAGGCCGTAGCGGTGCTCCCCCTCAGCACGGTGGAGTGCGAGCGTGGCTTCAGTCGCCAGAACCGTATCAAGACCTGGAAACGGACCTGCCTGGGCGACGCCAAACTGTGCGATCTGATGACTGCAGCACTCCTGCCCAGTGAAGGTCTGAACTGGGTGAATGTGGTAGCCCTGTTCAATGCTGCCAAGAAGCGACGTCCCGGCCAGGAATTCTTGTATTGAATTGTGTGTGGTATTCTGCTAAGATGGAACCATATAGTCCTGCAGTTATTGTTCTAGTTGTAGTCGTGTAGCTGTAGTTCTTTGTCTAGACAATGCACAATTTCTAATCGAGGCGCATAGCACACTGACGAGCACGAGTAACACTGCAGCCAACCCTGATAAGCAAGACTGACATGGCTGTCCCACCCTTACTGAAAGACCAGGTAGGGCAAACTGCCCTTTCGACTAAGAGTGCTTCCAAACCTATCCAGAGGCCTGCTGTTCCCACTTGGAATAAGCAGGATGGCAATAGGGATGGCAGGAAGAGTGGCTGGGGAAAGGCAGGGGGTGGCAGCAGAAAGGCAGGGGAATGGCAAGGGGAATGGCTGGGTAATGGCAGGGGATTGACAGGGGGATTTGAGGGGAATGGTAGGGGGAATGGTAAGGGGAATGGCTGGGTAATGGCAGGGAGAATGGCAGGGAGAGCGGCTGGGGAAGGACAGGGGGGAATGACAAGGGGATGGCCCCGTCAGCCCCATCACAGCCCCTGTCGCGGCCGTTGCAGCGCTCGTCGCGGCACTTGTCCCGGCCCTGGTCGTCGCCCCCCATTGCTACCTTCAGTGTCCCCCCTAGTGCGGCTACCCGTCGTGCCCTTGCTACGGCCAGGGAAGAGCGACTATCCCTGGATTTTGCGCCTCTCACAAAAGTCACATGCGTGAACTGTGGCCCCTAATTGCAGCCGGGTAACTGATCTGTGAAACTTCTGTGTGTTGTTAACATATGAAATGACGCATGAAATTTACGTGCTAGGTCTGATGTTCTACGCATGCTCAAAGAAATTTCTGGCCAGTCACGCGGTTCTCTTGAACACGTGATTTCAACTCAAAGTAAAGCACTCCCACGCACATCTGCTGATACTATCATACGTTCCTTATGACCTTAGATGTTTCTGTTTTTCCTAGTGCTTAGCTAATACACCAACGTTCAATTTCCTAGTGCTTAGCTAATACAAAGCACTGTACTAGTATTGCAAGAGAATGTACCAGCTCTAACTTAGCAATCTCATGTTTCGCCTGCCAACAAGCTGCACCTGGATGGTGGGATAGCTCCACTTGTAAGACAGAACCCCACAGTGCAGTACACTATATGCTTCTTCGGCCAGGCAGGGTTTAGGCCACCCTGTTGTTACCTGTAGGCTGTAGCTCTACACGTTGACCCAGTGCAGTGCAGCACAGTATATTACCCTCTGGTCAGTTGGGGTGAGGGGAGGCGAGAGGGGAAGCGTTCCTTGCTGTGGCGTTGGTTCTCAAATGTGGAGAGGGGGTGGGGTGGGTGGTTTGGCTGCTGCTAGTAAGCTCTCTACATTTGAGGCGCCTCAGAAGTTTTCAGATGTGGAAAGGCGGTGGTGGTTTGGCTGCTGTTAGTGAGCTGTACTTTGGTAGCCCCCAACTCCGCGCCATTGTTTGCTGCCACACCCTGCGGATTGATCAGGGATGTGGGGTGGGGGTGTGGGGTGAATGAGGGGAGAGGAGCTCTTGGTGAGCAGCAGTTGCTGCTAGTGAGCTGTCCCCTGAATCCTTGCCATTGTTTGCTGCCATACCCTGCAGATTAACCAGGAGGGGGATGGGATTGGGGTGGAGGTGGGGGTGGGGGTGGGGATGGGGGTGGGGTTGGGGGTGGGGATGGGGGTGGGGAGAGGGAAGGAGGGGAGAGGGGAGATCTCGGTAAGCAGGAGAGGGGGTGGGGGTGGCTGCAGACGCTCATGTCAGCGCGCAGAGGTGGTTCGACAAACAAACCTCTGCCATGTTCTGCACAGCTCAACTTCACCTTCGGATCCCATGTTGTCTTGAGACGTCTCAAAACAACTCTTTTAACACGTCGTTCATATCAGCATGCAGAGGTGGTTGGACGAACAGACTTCCACCATGTTCTGCACAGCTCACCTTAACCTTCGAATCCCCTGTGATGTGAGCAGCCCTATTTGCACACCCACGTCATCCCACAACCCATGCTGTCACATCAACACGCACTCTCCCATCCTTCACCCATGGTTCAGCAGCTCTATCTGCACGCCTAGTGACTGCTGCAATGCGTCCAGCTGCCGCTTTGACTGCCGTGTGGGCAACCCACTCACTCTCCCCCCCACCCATGCCCATGCCATCCCGCTTGCCGACTCATGCTGCCACCTCCATCTCACCTCCTGTCCCACCATGTCTTTAGGGTCCAGGTTCAGCAGCTCTATCTGCACGCCCAGTGACTGCTGCAGCGCGTACAACTACCGGATGACCCACTCACCCACCCCACACACCCACGCCCACGGCCCCTCACCCATGCTGTCAACACAGAACGCACCTCCAGTCCTCCACCATGTCTTTTGGGTCCAGATTCAGCAGCTCGATCTGCACTCCCAGCGACTGCTGCAACGCGTCCAGCTGCCGCTCCAACTGCCGCGTGGGCAGGCGGATGGGCATGGCGATGACCCCCTCCATCAGGAACAGCATGGTGCCTCCGAAGGGGGCCTGGAAGTTGAAGGGGAAGCGGGAAAAGCAGGGAGGATGAGAGGGGGAATGGGAGGGCATTGCAGACACTAAGAGGCAGGCGGATGGGCAGGGCGGTGACCCCCTCTATAAGGAACAGCATGGTGCCTCCCAATGGCGCCTGGATGGGCCATGGGGGGAGCGGCAGAAGGGAGGATAGCAGGGCATTGGACACACGAGGCAGGCGGATGGGCATGGCAGACAACCCCCTTACCCACTCCAGCATCACATCGCCATTGCCTCTGTGAACCATCCCCATTCCAGCGATCCCACATCTCCTCTATAAAGGTCTCTAAGTTCTCGAGGGTTCTGAGTATGGCAGGTACTCAGTCACGCCGTACACGAGCCATGGATTGTTTGACTCAATGCTCCACACGGTCTTCCCTCACCTCCTCTGTAAATGTCTCTAAACTCTCAATGTTGATGTTTTTGGATGAAAGGTACTCAGTCACATTGTACACCAGCCCAGGGTTGCCAGCCCCTTCCTTTCTGCTGCGGCTACACACCCATTCCTCCTCCGTGACTACCCACCCCAGCATTCTCTCACCTCTTGTGTGAACGTCTCCAGGTATTCTTGGACGAAAGGTACTCGGTCACGTTGTACACGAGCCCAGGGTTGTCGGCTCCACTCCACATCACACCATCTCCCACGGAAGCAACACAAGAACTTTCCTCACCTCCTCTGTGAACGTCTCCAGGTTAATGTTGATATTCTTGGACGACAGCTACTCAGTGACATCGTACACAAGCCCTGGGTTGTAAAGTGTACAGCCCCTCTCTGCTGCAGTGAGCTTCCTCGCTGCCTTGCACACACCCGTACCTCCCCTCTGCAAACCCCCAACTCCAGAGCTCCCTCACCTCCTCTGTGAAAGTCTCTAGATTTTCAATGTTGATATTCTTCGATGACAGGTACTCAGTGACATTGTACACCAGCCCGGGGTTGTCGGCTCCTCGCAGCACCAGCCGCCGGAACTTGCGTTTGGGGGCCGTCTCGTCACTGCGCTCGTCCACCGTCCAGCGCGTGCTCACCTGGAGAGGGGGCATATGTACATGGGGTTACAGTTACATATGGGATGGGGGATCAAACACCTCCTGGTCTCTCGTCACTGCGCTCGTCCACCGTCCACCTCGTGCTCACCTGCACATACAGGTGGGGGACGGGGGGGTACATTGACATATGGGGTGGGGGTACATTGACATATGGGGTGGGGGTACATTGACATATGGGGTGGGGGTTCAAACACCACTCACATCTACTCAACCCTCCAACTCCCTCTCACCCGCACCCTTCCATCTGCCCTCACCTGCAACCCTCTCGACTCCTCCCCACCCCTCCACACCCCTACCACTCACCTGCAACCCCTGCACTTCAAGCAGCTTGAGCCGAAGGTCCTCCGCTATCCGGGGCGATCTGAGAAAGAATGGGATGGGATGGAGGGCAGGCAGGCGACGGGTCTTTGAGGCGCCTAAAGAATCATATCACTTCAAGCAGCTTGAGCCGAAGGTCCTCCGTTATCCGTGGCGACCTGAGAAAGAGTGGGATGGGATGGAGGGCAGGCAGGCAGCGGGTCAGCGTGGTTGCACAAGACTTCGTGAGCATATTGGGTGACGATGTGTCGTTATTTGGAGTAGAATGAGACTTTGGAAGGGTGTTTTAGGGTCTGACGACGTGCCCAAGGTACTCAAGCCACTCAAAGCGACATCAGAGCACGCAGCGCACTCACGTGGCGTCGACGCGGATGAGCATGATGATGGAAAAGTACCCCGCCAGTCGTGCCACTCTCGGCTCTCCCCACGTTCTAGCACAGTCCAGAGTGAAATCTGGCACTCAAGGCACTCAGTGCACTCAGTGCGGTCAGCGCACTCACGTGGCGTCGACGCGGATGAGCATGATGATGGAAAAGTCCCCCGCCAGCCGCGCCACTCTCGGCTCTCGGTCACATTCCCGCCCCAGCCACTCCAGAGTGAAACAAGGCACTCAACACACTCAACGCCCTCCGTGCACGCAGGGCACTCACGTGGCGTCCACGCGGATGAGCATGATGATGGAAAAGTCTCCCGCCAGCCGCGCCATGCGGCTCTCCTCCACGTTCCCGCCGCACTCGAGGATCCGCTTCGCCAGCGTCGACACGATGCCCAGCCTGTCCGGGCCTGACGCTGTTACCACCAGATGACGCTCGGAGGGCGCGGCTGAAGGGCGGTTGAAGGTGAGGGGGAGGGGAGTGGGAGTGGGAGGGGGAGTGGGAGGGGAGTGGGAGGGGGAGGTGGAGGGGGAGGGGGAAGGGGAGGGGGAAGAAAGGGGGAAGGGGAGGGGGAAGAAAGGGGGAAGGGGAGGGGGAAGAAAGGGGGAAGGGGAGGGGGAACAAGGGTGCTGATGAGGAGGAATACCACATGCCAGCCGGCTCTCTCTCTTCCCCCATCGCCAGAGTCGACACGATGCCCAGCCTGTCCGGGCCTGGCGCTGTTACCACTAGATGACGCTCGGAGGGAGCGGCTGGGGATGGGGTTTGAAGGGGACGGGGAAAGAGGGTGCGGATGTGGGGAATTAACTCCTACCATGCGGCTACCCTCCACGTTCCCGCCGCACTCCAAGATCCGCTTCGCCAGCGTCGACACGATGCCCAGCCTGTCCGGCCCTGAGGCAGTCACCACCAAGTGCCGATCGGCTGGCGCGGCTGGATAAGGGAGGGGTAGTTGAAAAGGGAGGGGGGAAAAGGAGTGTGGATGAGAGGAATGCGGCTCATGCGGTTCGACACAATGCCCAGCCTGTCCGGCCCCGACGCCGTCACCACCAAGTGCCGCTCGGAGTGACACGCCTAAGGATGGGAAGGGTGGTTGAACGGGATGGGGGGAGGGGGAGGGAGGAGGGGGTTGAGGGAAGAAAGGATGCAACAGAAGAAATTAGTGAAGTAACTGAGAGGATCGAGGAAAAGGCCATTCCCCATTGCCGCTGTCCTCGACGTTGCCTCCAAGCTACTCCGAGATTCACTTCGCCGATGCTGACACCATCCAGGTCGAGTCACATGTACCAACCATGGGTCTCAAACAAACGCTTTCTAGCACACTAATGGCTTCGATCATCGAGTCGAATGATGCCAATTCCCATCCACGATTAACTTCAGTCACGGGAATATTTGTCCCGCGTCCCACTCACCAGTGTCCTTGGATCGACTCGCTATGTCTTGCCAGAACGCGTCGCTCCCATTTCTGAATTCGCGACACGCTTCTCTCAGCTGCTTCGAGACTACTACGGCTGCTGCCGACCTGCCACGTGTCGCAATGAGACGCCGCAGCGCTAGCATGGCCGCTCTGTTGCCACTTCTACTGATAATTGTCGAAGCGCCAATGCGCAATGAAGAAATACAACAGGTTTCCGACTAGATAAAGGACCAGCGCACGAATTTCACGATGTAGTCGTTCGATGAGCTAGCGGCGTAACCTTCAAGACAAGAAGCGAAAATGGACCCTGACGACGATGTGACAGGCTAATTGTGTGCCATTGGTATTTAGTGTACTAGAAACCCTAGTGCAAGGCGACAGTTACGGTGAAGATACAACACGACGGTTTGTACCCGCGCTCTTGGTGAAGTTGATCAGGGATAAAAGGCTCAGTTCTGGTGGGTGGGAGGAATACAGGAATGAGAAATGGCTTCTTAACTGTAGGGTGAAGTGGAGTGGTGGGAGTGCCTGGGGTGGGGAGAGGGATGGATGACAAGTTAGCGAGTGCCTGGGATGGGGGAAAAAGAGGTTTCGTTTTCACTTTCCAAGCTACCGAGTACACCTAACCACCGCTATTTTCTTTCCGTCTATTGTCAACCCACTTGCGCAAGTGGGTATGCACCCTTTCTTGAATATTTGACCGAGGGCTGTGTGGGCGTCAGAAATTTCACACTGATCTCACAGTGAGTCAGTTCCAGACCCCCAAAAAGAGTAGAAGTGGCACAAGGGAATTCGCGACAGCAAAAGTGCCCCTTCTCAGATTTGCTTTCATGCATTTCTTAACATTAAAAATCGGGGTGCTTCGTAGCCCAAGTGCCCCAAGTGCCCAACTGAAATAGTCGAATGCGTGCAGGGTATCTTCGAAACGCGGGAACAGCGCAATGGTTCGGAGTTGAAAATAGCGGTGGTTAGGTGTATAGGGGATAGCCCGTTGGGTGGGTGGGACCACCTGCAGATTCCGTTGAAGCCCATTCGTAGTGCGAATGCGCTGCGTGATATTTGGTGATGAGGACGTCACGAAAGTTGCGTCACTGCGGCCTGACATCGAGGCTTTTTTGCTTCCAGAAGATTTTCCTTTCTTAAGGGCTGCCCCGGTGCCAGCCCCGAAGCCACTCTTCTGCGCTCACGCGGTCCGTTTATCATTTTCCCGCCAAGAATTCCAAAAGAGAGGTAACTTCGGATTAAGGCCTTTACACAAAGAAGTCGGTCAATACACCTGCTACGATGGATTCACTCTATGAATTATTATCTTCCGGATTGATACTAAACAGCTCCGAAGATTTGCACTGCAGGGTTCAGGCAAGATTAGCAAGTGTTGAAACTTAAAATATTGTAATTCCAAAAGGGAGTGGCAATGCTGAGAGCCATAATGACCAGGCTACATTCAGAAAACATGAAGTAACTGAATGCCCTGTAAAACCAGGAAAGTCTCCACACTACCTACAAAACACAATTGGCAAACTAGAACGATTGGACCAGCCTGCTGGGATCATACATACAAGCGAGCCGCCAACACCAGACAGCCTGCTATATTGGACCGGCAACGCAATGAATAAATAAACCAAATAGATTGAGACCACAGTGATTCTCAAGCACACATCAAACAGCATTAGTGACTGCTCTTTGAGTGTCCTTCAACAAGGTTGCCGCCTCACCATCAACAGGCAGTGAAGCACTGCGCATGTGCCGCAGCCCGCGCCTGCTATTAATGCGCAGCAACAGCTGCGCCAGCAGCTTCGGGTCGACAGGCTTCTGCAGAACGCCATCAAAGCCACCCGCAAGGCAGCGCCGAGTGACCTCATCATCCACATCTGCTGTCAGTGCCACTATGAGGAGCCGAGAAATGGTGGGGGCTGGAGGACCAGTGGAACAGGCTGGAGTGCTTATGTTACGTTCTGATTTTTCTAATGCTGATGCTTTACCTGTGGCTTCTGAGGTTGATGCCAGGTGAAGGGCTGTGTCGGCCTCGTACGCTCGTATGGCCTCTGTTGCTGCAAAGCTGGAATGCAAAGAATGGAAGCATGGGTGCATGAAGGAGGGAGCAAAGGAGGAGGAAAGGCCAGTATTAAGAAGAATAATTAACCATCTTACTAGAAACGGTAATGTAACTGATATAATATTCGTACTAGCTTCAATACAGTTATAATTATGAAAAATTCTTCTACATATTTCTTACACATACGACTCACCCGTCCATGAGGGGCATCTGCAGGTCCATGAGCACCACATCCACATGCCCATACACATGTCCATCCATGGCCATGTCCATGGGCTGTGAAGCGGCCCCCAAGGCGAGCTTGACTCGCCGGAGCGCCTCCTCCCCGCTGGCAGCGGTGGTGACGGTGGCACCGCTGCGAGTGAGAGTGCGGCGCGCCACCACCAGATTCACCGCCGCATCGTCCACCACCAGCACGCCCACCCCCCCTAGCAACCCCCCACCCTGCTGCACCGCACTCAACCACTTGGCTGCCTGCACACCCACCCGCTGCAGCACCACAGTTCCTCCCTTGCCTGCCTGTGATCTCCCACTCCCTTGCAGCACCTCACTGCCCTGCGGCAGTGTTGAATCCGCCTCCCAGGCTGAATGGTCAGCATCGGGGGCTGGTGTGGCCGCACTCCTCTGCAGCTCCCTCATTCCTTGTACTTCTGCATTCGCTTCGGCAGCAGCGGCCGGCTTTCTATTGGTCCTGAGACTGCTGATTTGGCTGCTGGGTGCATCACCGGCTGCTGCAACTGCACCATCCACTCGCACTCGTGCCATGCCACTCAAACCCTGCGTGATTTGACCCTCATCTTGCCCTGCATCCACATTGCCCCTCCTTGTAACGTGGGTGCTGCCATTGCACAAGCTCGCAGCACCCAGTTCAGTACACCTCAGTTGCACCCCCAGACCGCCCTGCCCCTCACAGGCCCTGTTTCCCTGGTATGGGCTGTTGACGCCGAGTCCAAATGCTGCCATCTGGATTGAGTAGCGATGGGTGAAGGGCAGGGCATGAGAAAGGAATGAAAGAGGCAGAGGAGGGACATGATAAAAGGGAGTGTCACAAGTATAGAGAAGGAAATAAAACCGCAACGACCGAGAGAGCAGAAGGTAATCTGGGAATTCTAGACAGATGGCAACAGAGGCTCACCTGATGGCAACAGAGGCTCACCTGATGGCAACAGAGGCCTACCTGAACGGCGTGGTGCAGATGGTGAGAGAGCAGCGGGCGGCGACAGGTGACCACCCGGGGTGGAATGGTAGCAGAGACACAAGGAGGAGAGGAAGAAGGAGCAGCGGCAGAGGCAGAGGCAGAGGCAGAGGCAGCGGCAGTGGCAGCGGCAGCGGCAGCGGCAGTAGCAGCTGTATGCAATGATCGTTGCATCTGCGAGTGCATCTGAGGTTGACCTCTTTTCATTCCCACCTCCTCATCACTTTGCTCCTCTATTCCCTCTTCCATACTTCTGCTCGCCCCCTTCTCTCCATCCTCTTCCTCCCCTACACTCACTTCCTCTACCTCTTCTCCTTCCTCCACCCCGTCCCATACCCCCATTGCCTCTCTACCAGAGCAGTTCGTCAGAACAACCACCCCCACCACCATCCCTTGCACCCCTCTCATAGCCCGCATGCCTGCCTGCCACACCGCTGCCTCCCAGCTGCTTCCCCGTGCACCTTTACAAGCTGCATCCTCTCCTCTCCTGCCTGCCCCTGCCGGCACCAGAGCCACCACAGCCCCTCTCTCTCCACCTGCCCCACTCCCTTGCCCATCCCTCCTCCACCACCGATCCCCACCGCACTCCACACCATTCCCACCATTCCTAACACTCTTACATGCACCATTTTCAGCAGCTTCTCCTATTTCTCTCACGTACCCTCTCAGCAAATCTGCATCCTCAACCACCACCACCCAAGAAGTGCTTTCCCTCATTACCTCTCCTCCCTTGATCCCCTCTGCTCCCTCGTCTCCCTCTAAACACCTCCTTTCTCCTCCCTCTGACCACATCCCCTTTTGTCTTCCCTTGGCCCTCTCTCCTTCTCCATCTAAACACATGCTCTCTCCCTCTCCCTCAATATTCTCTCCTTCACCTTCTCTCCCTCGCTCTGGCTCGCTCCTAAGCGTTGGAAGAGTGCGCACTTGTGCTCGGAGACCTGATAGAATGCGAGACGTGAGCTGAAGAGGGTACAAGGCAGAGGGAGTGGCCTGAAAAATTGAAGGGATAGGCTTGCCAAGATACGAGGGATGAAGGAAAATTTGGATGAAATATATATAGAAAACTCCTACGAAGGGGCCAAGAATGCAAAGTAAGGGAGGAGGAGGGTATGTGCAGCAAGAGAATGAACGCAGCAACTCCCTCCCACACATCCCTCCCACACATCCCTCCCACACATCCTGCCCCTCCCACCCACACTACCTCACACTCCCTCCCTTTATTTGCTCAGTGCTCACCTCTCTCTTGACTTTATCAGATGCCACCACGCCCACTGCCAATCCCTCCAAACCGCCAATTGGAGGAGCGGGGGAGTGAGTAATGGTTGTAAGAGAAGTGGGAGGATGGGTGACGTGAGAGGGAGCGGCGGGGGGCGAGGGGGGCGAGGAGAAGGGGACGGAGAAGGCGAAGGTTGAGCCGATGCCGGGATGAGACAGGCAGGCCACATGGCCGCCCATGAGGGTCACCTTTGGGGAGGAGAGATGGCGGAGGGAAGGAGGGAAGGGGCAAGCAAGCAGTGAATGGCTTGACCACGGCTTAAGCACAAGTGGAGCAGATAAACACCAACTTAAATTGGCTCAATCAATATGAGCGAAACAAAATAATAGAATAATGAATGGCTCACTTTATGTTCCAAAACCCCGTGGCCCATTTGAACGTGGTGACTTTTGAGTCGACTCAAAAGTCACCTTTCAACGGATCTGATTCATTGAAAAGCGCAAGAGCCCTTATCAAAGATCCATGAACCATGACAATAAACTCCTTACAAGGGATGAATCAAGAGTGACTGTCTCAAGAGCCTCAATCACTAGGGGAGTGCAAAGAGCTCTCACCACTAGGGGAGCCTCAATCACTAGGGGAGCTCTCACCAGTTGGTGCGTGAGCGCAAGACCCAGCCCCGCTCCTCCACTCTCTGTCCGCCCCTGATGAGGAACACAGGAAACAGTTCCGCAACCAGAAGTGAGCTGTTGACAAGATATCTCAAAAACAGTGAAGAATCGAAGTGAGTGGGTGAAACTATATTTCCAAAGCAGCCAAGCACCGCACCAAAAGTGAGCGGGGGCATGCTAAGCTTCTTGCTTCTCCTCCTCCATGCCGCACCCCGTATCCTCACACAACACCACCACCAGTTGCCTGCAGTGAATTTTATGAGACGTCTAAAAGATTCATTCACTGTATATCCGTATCCTCACACAACACCACCACCAGTTGCCTGCAGTGAATTTTATGAGACGTCTAAAAGATTCATTCACTGTATATCCGTATCCTCACACAACACCACCACCAGTTGCCTGCAGTGAATTTTATGAGACGTCTAAAAGATTCATTCACTGTATATCCGTATCCTCACGCAACACCACCACCAGTTGCCTGCATCCTCTCAGTCTCACCCACTCGCGCCTCCAACTCACCCACACCATAGGTATTCATCCACGCTTCCTCACCTTCAACTCAAACAGCCCCTCTTGCTTCTCCTGTTCCATGCCACACCCCGTATCTTCACATGACACCACCAGCTGCATCCCCTCACTCTCACTGCACTGCACCCACTCCCTCACCCACTCCCTCACCCACTCCCTCACCCACTCCCTCACCCACTCCCTCACCCACCTCACCCACCTCACCCACCACACCCACCTCACCCACAGGTAGAGTCATTCCGTCCCCAGTTCCTCACCTGCAACTCAAACATCCCTTCCTGCTTCTCCTCCTCAATGCCACACCCGGTATCTTCACACGACACAACCAGCTGCATCTCCCCACTCCCACCGCTGCACCCACTTTCCCGCCGCTGCATCCCCCCACCTCCTTCCCAACCCTCCTCCGAATCCCCCTCTCCTCCATCCCCCCTCGTGACCCCACTCACTCCCTCAGCCGCCCACAGCCTTATACCAGACAAGCACCCTCCTACTGCATCAGCAGGCAAGCACCCTCCTCCTCCTGCGTCTGCATTGCCTTGCGCCGACACCTCCCCACTCTCACTGCTCCCATCGATACTCTGGGCTATCCTCTGGTCGTGTATCTCATCCAATCTCTGACTGCTACGCTGAGCTATTCTCTCATCATCACTTCTCTGGAAGGCACTCTGGTGGCTACTCTGGTGGTAAGAGCTCTGGTTGGTTCTCTCCTCCTCAGTGCTCTCAGCAGTGGTTTGGTCACACGAGAAGCTGCCCTGGCCAGGCGTGAGGAGAGCTCTGGTACAGAGAACAAGGCGGGCAGGCAGGCGGGCAATGAGGCTGGTGAGCCAGGAGAGGAACGACGGAGGGGGAGGAGGAGGCGAGGGAGGGAGAGGTGCGTCTGAGGCTTCTGAAAGAGGGGATTAGGGAGAGACGATGGGATTGGGGAGGGGGGAGGAGTCGGATGTTAGAAATAGAAAGTGAGATGGGTAGGGCAGCTTGTCTTGGTAACCACAAACTTAATTTGCCAACCAGAGATCAGGGCAGCAGTGCAAAATGTTTCCTCTTGGGCGCCCAAAATCGTCTCAAACCAGCATGGCCCACTGCTGACCAAGCAGAGGAAAATACATGAAAGGCCAGATTTCACTGGTCTAGCTGGTATGGGAGGGAGGGAGCACGACTGACTGATGTGGTCCAGCCAGGGCTTGCTGCAGAGTGGTGGAAGCAAGGGGTTGAATTGAAACTACGCATAAAAAACTCCGTTTGACTGGTCTGGCTGGTATGGGAGGGAGGGAGTACGACTGACTGAGGTGGGCGAGGGCTTGCTGCAGAGTGGTGGAGGCAGCGCATACAGACACCCTCAGCAATACGTGTCCGCTTCCCGTGTAGCGCACTGCATTGTCTGGTGGGGATGGGGTCATGGGAGGGATGGGGTGATGGGAGGGATGGGGTGATGAGAGGGATGGGGTGATGGGAGGGATGGGGTGATGGGAGAAATGGGGTGATGGGAGGGATGGGGTGATGGGAGGGATGGGGTGATGGGAGAAATGGGGTGATGGGAGGAGTGGGATGATGGGAGGGATGGGATGATGGGAAGAACAAATGCCCGTTCATGGCATCTGGTCTGGTGACAATTTTGAGATGTAGATACCCTGCCTGTAAACTCTTTGAGTATCGAGAGAGAAATGTGATGTGAGTGAGATATGAGTCTCACCTACAAGCTCTTGGAAAGCTTGTGTGGGCCTCATGGCGTCAACTCCCAACTCCTCAGGCACGTTCTCATCCACCAGTCCCACCACTGCCAGCACTTGCACCACTCACCTGTGAACTCTTGTAGCACTAGTGTGAGTCTCACTCACCTATCAGTTCTTGGAGAGCTTGTGTGAGCCTCATGGCGTCAACTTCCAATTCCTCAGGCACGTTCTCATCCACCAGTCCCACCACTGCCGTGGGGAGATGAGATTGAAAGGAACGGTGGAAGGAAGAATGTATTGGACAAACACCACTGAGAAATGAAGGGCCAACAACATGCCTCCACAGCGCGGAGATCACATCCAAGGATCAACAATGATTCTGCTGAACGGGGAAAACGACCCCTCAGACACAACGCCTTTCCACGACAAAGTGGTGAGGCCAAAAACGCCACAGCATGCCTCGATCATTACACAGTGCCGCCCACACTTCATCCACCACTCACACACTCGCACATTCACATCCTCGTCTATTCTTCCATCCCAATCCTCGCCCCTCAACCACAAACTCACATGCTCGTCCACTGTCCCAGTTCTCGCCCTTCACACACCCACTCACGCTCTAACCCTTTTTGCCGAGCCCGCCAGTAGTTCTCCCCAGCAACGCCCTCCAGCCAAGCCCTTGGGTCAAGCAGCCCACCCGCAGCAGCAGCTCATCCTTGCACAAACGACTCACCCCCCTTTCAGAAGCAACAAAACGCCGCCCAGTGCCTCGACCTCACCGCCCATCTTGTGCGCATCCAGCTTGGACAGATCAAGCACGCGATTCACCAGCCGCACCGTGTCCTCCGCCAATGCCCTCGCCTCCTTCCTCGCACAAACCATTCGCTGTTCAGCCGTAAAAGCATGCCAAGTCCCTCGCCCACACCGTTTTCTTATCACCCAAACACTCACATTCAATCCCCTTCTGGCGAGCCCGCCAGTAGCTCTCCCTGACGATTCCTTCCAGCCAAACTCGCGGGTCAACTGGCGCACAACACAGCCCCATCTTGCGCGCCTCCAGCTTGGACAGATCAAGCACGCGGTTCACCAGCCGCACCGTATCTTCCGCCGACGCCCTCGCCTGCCCCACATCCGCTATTTGAGCCCCGCTCAGCCCCATGTCAGCCAGGGCGTCCAGCAAACCTATAATGCCGATCATGGGCGTGCGCAGCTCGTGGGACATGGACGCCACAAACACACTCTTGGACCGCTCCGCTGCCCGTGCGTTGGCCCGGAGGTGGTCGGCCTGTGCCACTCCCTCTCGGCTTCGCAGGTACCCCACGCGCTGCTGCCATGCCACGGCTACCACCAGGGATGTCAGCACCAGAGCCAGCAACGCCCAGAGGAAAGGAATTCCCCACGATTGCCACGCGTCGGGAGGCTCAGAGTACCTGGTGGTGGGGAGTGGAGGGGAGTTCAGTTGAGAGCGAGCAACCCCATGATGCCCATCAGCTCGTGAGACATGGACGCCACGAACACACTCTTGTACCGCTTCCGCTGCCCGGCGTTCGCCCGCAGGCGGTCGGCCCGTGCCATTCCTTGTTGGCTGCGCAGGTACCCCACGCGCTGCTGCCATGCCACGGCTGCCACGAGGGTTGTGAGCACGAGGGCGAGTAAAGCCCAGAGGAGGGGCACGCCCCATGATTGCCATGCGTCGGGAGGCTGAGAGTACCTGGTGGTGGGGCAGTGACACAAGATCGAAAGGACGGAACAACGGGAGGTGCTAACAGCAGTATAAGTGTGTTACATATCCTTATGTTTGGTACGAAGAGTAAGCGCGTTATTAATTATGTTTGGTATTAAGTGTAAGCGTGTTACGTACTCCTATGTTTCGTACAAAATATTATTGCGTTACTTATCGGCAAGGTTCAAAATTACGACCGTATTATTGAATTTTCACCGTATAATACGGAATCGTATAATACGACCGTAAAATACGGTTTAATACGGTGGATTGAGGTTTTTTGTGTTTGGTTCAAAAATACGACCGTATAATTCGACCGAAAAATTGAAACCGGGTCTGTGTATATCAGGAATCATAGTGTCACACGCACATTTCTCCCAACCGTGATTTTCTCTCACAACCGTTCACACGAATGTGTTTTTTCCCTGCGTCGCAAATGTCACGACTCTTTCGCGTCGCGACATTTGGGCATTTGGCGAGGCTAATTTCGAGTTTACGTGTTTCGCCAACTCGTTGGCATGAGTCGCCAAAGCGGAACGTGTACAATTTCCCGAGGCGCGACATTCTAACATGTGGCGAACGGTACCCATTCGACCCCACGTTTCGTGATTTTCGTTAAACATTTTCGCACGGCAAAGGTTTGGTTCGCTCGCAGTCGCGACACATCCAAAAGTCGCGATGCGAAACCAATCTAACCAATCAGAATACATCCCGTGAACTCAACCTTTTCAAAAACCCACTCGACACAACACACCCACCTTCCACAACGAGGTACTTAGGAGCTCGGTTTAGCCACTCCTAATCATATTCTGAGCATAGTTCTGCTCTAGTTTAGTCTTCAGGGTGCTCCACTAGGGTTCGTGCCTGTCAGGACGTACGCCATGGCGAGGCAGAAATCGCCGCTGTGGAAGCACGTTACGACTAAGGGACCAGACGGCACCTTAACGGCGAAATGCGTACACTGCTCCGAATCCGTGACTGCTAATGCTACACGCATAGGAGAGCACATCTATGGGACGCCGAAGGACAAAGATAAGAATGTGACGCCGTGCACCCACGAAGTCGCCATCAAACTTCGCGAGGAAGCAGCTACTAATGAGCTTTCTGGAAGCACCACTCCGTCAACCCTTGGCTCCACTTCAACCCTAGACATCCAGCCCTCTCGCCGCACTCGACAGCGGGACATCCGCGACATGGTGGATGACTCTGCACGCGCTCGACTGGACTACCTATGGGCCGCTGCAGTGGCTGATAACGATTGGGCGTTCCACACGTCCAAGTCGCCAGCCGTGCAGAACTTCGTGGATGCGGCTGTTGCCTTCGGGAAACAATACACCCTCCCATCCCCCTTCAGGGTTTCTGGTGTTTTGCTTCAAAAACTGGTAGCGGATACCGAGGACCTTGTAAGGCCCCTGAAGGAGAGTTGGAACACTAGCGGCTGCACCATCTCCGTGGACGGCTGGACCTGCATGAAGAGCCGTGGGCTCGTGTGTGTCATAGCCCACAATGACACGGCGCCTGTCATCGTGAAGACCGTGGACTCCAAGACCGCGAAGAAGACGGGGGAGTACTTGGCCGGCCTCATCCGGACCTCAATCGCCGAGGTTGGAGACAAGAAGGTGGTGCAGGTGGTCATGGACAATGCGTCCAACAACCGTAGGGCGGCCGACATCCTCCGGGACGGTTTTCCTGCAGTGTTTTTCAACAACTGTGCGGCGCACGTCCTGGACCTGATGCTCCACGACATCGGGAGGGTCCGTGCTGTGCGGCGAGTGCTCAACCAGGTGCACAGGGTGGTTATGATCGTCAAGGGAAGCGCGTCTGCCGTCACGCTCCTCCACGAGTTGTTTAGCACTTTGTCCTTGGTGCGGCCCGGTGCAACACGCTTCGGCACGCAAGTTATCATGCTTGGCCGCTTCCTGGAAGTAAAGAAAGCGCTCAAGGAGATGATCATCAGTGAGGAGTGGGAGTCGGTGGCGGTGGCGCGGTCTGAGGAGGGGCGAGCTGTCCGCCAGCTCCTCTTGGATGAGGTCTTTTGGGAGTGCGCGACAGCGGTCCTCCGCCTCATGACACCCGTGTATGAAGTGCTGCGGGTGGTTGACACCCGTGCTCTAGTCATGGGCCAGATCTATGGCCTCATGCTAGATGCCACGGTGAAGACAAACAATGCGGCAGAGGCGGCAGGTAAGCTGTGAATTGCCGCACGTTCTGGCTATTGTATACCCTTCCCGCCAATTGTGCTCACCTCGTGCTCTCCGGTTCTCCCCATGGGCAGCCAAAATGATGCTGAAACGCACCGCTCTCTTGCCGGCCAAAGACAAGCCGGCCTTTCTGGCCGCCATCAAGGCTATCATAGCAAGGAGGTGGGACTCCCAGCTCCACAATCCACTCCATGCTATGGGGTGGCTTCTGAACCCGCGCAATCAGTACGGCAAAGAGGTGAAGAACGATCCCGAGGTAAGGCTTGGGGCGGAAGCGGTGATCCAGGCCCGTGGGGGAGACGTCGCACAACGCGCGCTGCTGTTGGCGCAGTTGACGCAGTTTCATAAAGGAGAGGGGCTGATAGGGTCCGATGATGCCCGTTGGGCAGCAACGGTGTTGGTGGCGAGTGGGCGCTTGACGGAGGCAGAGTGGTGGCTGATGTATGGGGGGGAATTGCGAGCGCTCATGGGGATGGCTGTGACGGTGCTGTCACAGCCAGTCACGTCTTCTGAGGTCGAACGCTACTGGTCCGCCATTGCACGGGTGCAGAGGCGGGACCGTAACCGCCTCAGTGCCAACAAGATGATGGATGTGACTGAGGTGGCGTTCGCCAGGAGGGCCAGGGATGCTTTCGATAGGAAATCACTGCAGAGGGAGAAGCTTTATGCCGATCTGGCCAACGGCACCCTCCAGCAAGGGAGTGCCGTGGAACCGGCAGCAGCAGAGGAAGAGGAAGTGGGGGACGACGAGGAGGAGGGAGAGGGGAATGAGCAGCTATGCACCATTGATTGGGACCTATTCGGGAACATTGGGAAGCGGAAGAAGAAGGGGCCAAAGACCGCTAAAAGGAAGAGAAACGGGAAGGCCAAGAAGCCTACCAAGGGAAAGAGGAAGGCAACATCCGTGCGAGAGGAAGAGGGTGAGGAGGAGGAGGCGGCGGATAGCAGTGGAGGGGAGGAGGAGGACGTGCCCACCAAGGCTCGAAATGGCGCGGATCCTTGGGACATTAGTGACGGGTCTAGTGGGGAGGAAGAGGAGGAGGCGGATGAGGATGAGGAGGAGGAGGAGGAGGAGGAGGAGGAGGAGGAGGAGGAGGAGGATGAGTAGAGAAGAGAGAAGGTTACAAGTTGGAGGAGGAGAGAGAGCTAGAGAAGGATAGGATAGGGTAGGAGGTGTAAAGTAAAGAGTAGTGGACGGTACGGTAGTAGTGGGAATGGTCGAGTAGTGTTGAAACCATCTGTTCTGTTGTTATGCTATGCTAATGTAGTGTGTACCTTTCAGAGCATTGGTACGGGGAAAAAAAAAAAAAAAAAAAAAAACACCAGAAAAACAGTCTATCAAAAATACGGCGTATTTTTGAATTTCTTGCCGTAAAAAACGACCGTATTATACGGACCGTATAATACGGTAGCCGTAATTTTGATCCTTGCTTATCGGTAAGCTTCGTATTAATCGAAAGTGCATTTCTTATCCTTATGTTTGATACAAAGAGAAAGTGTGATAATGAACATTATGTTAATATTAAGTGTGAATGTGTTATTTACGCTTGTGTGTGGTACTAAGTGTAAGTGAGTTACTTATTTGTGTCCAATATATATTGTAAGTGCGTAACTTATACTTACCGTTGGTACTAAGTGTGTTACTCACCGGCACCAGACCTGGTACTGGCGCAGGCGGCCGCCCAGCAGGTCGAGGGGCACGACGGCACGTTGCTCCCAAGGGCGCGTAACGTTGTCGGGCGAGGCGGCAGTGAAGGGTAAGATGTCCCTCTCCTTGTAATAAATGAGCCTTGGACCCGGCCCGTAGATCATGGTGGGGGCACTGGGGTCTGTGGTGTCATATGCCTCAAACGTGATCGAGGGGTCTGCAAAGCGGTGATGAGGGGTTGAGAGTGGGAACAAGTGATGTGCAATGGTAGTGAGGTGCGGTGAAGGTTGATGTCCCTTTCCAAGTAGAAGATGAGCCTTGGCCTCGGCCCAAAGATCATGGTGGGCGTGCTGGGCTTCGTCATGATACGCCTCAAACTTGATTAAGGGGTCTACTATTAATAACGTCCAGGGTTGGACGCTGTATCAACTGCTTGCAATGCAAAACTGGAGCCAAAGACGGCTCCAGAGTTGGAGCCAAAGACGGCTCCAGAGTTGGAGCCCTATTGCAGCACCTTCTGCTGCTGCAGTACCTGGGCAAAACACCTTGGTGAGCACGTTCTTGGCGATGGAGGTGAAGTCCACAACCGACCCTGCCCCCCCAATCACCGCCTCCTCTGCCTGCTGCTGCGTTGGGTTCGGCGGCAGCGGGTGCTGCAAGATGGGGAAGCCCACCGCTGGCATGGGGAAGGATGGCAAGGGGGGATGTGGAGAGAGGGAGAGAGAAGAGCAGGAGGCAACGGGAGGAGATGAATGAACGGGAAGAAAGTAGTCCGTCCGTCAAACCACGATGAAGAAAGAAAGTGGTATACGTTTTTTAAATATTCACACTTGCGGCTCACCAACACCGGTGCAAACATACTTGAGCGCGACGGGTACAGTGCGTCTTTTTCGTATTATGACCTATACAAGAGCATAGTGTTCGATCTGTTTCAGCGCCAGCAGGTTGACATTTCTGGGCTGCATGAGAAATGTCAACCTGTTGGCACTGAAGTAGGTCGAACACCATGCTCCCATATAGGTCATGATACAAAAAGGACACGCTGTACCCATCTCGCTCAAGTATGTTTGCAGCGATCCAACGCACATATCACGCATCCACGGCTCACCAACACTGGTGGGATTGTAGGTGGGATTCCCAACGGGCGATACATCACTGTACCCAACGGGCGATACATCACTGTACCCAACGGGCGATACATCACTGTACCCAACGGGCGATACATCACTGTACCCAACGGGCGATACATCACTGTACCCAACGGGCGATACATCACTGTACCCAACGGGCGATACATCACTGTACCCAACGGGCGATACATCACTGTACCCAACGGGCGATACATCACTGTACCCAACGGGCGATACATCACTGTACCCAACGGGCGATACATCACTGTACCCAACGGGCGATACATCACTGTACCCAACGGGCGATACATCACTGTACCCAACGGGCGATACATCACTGTACCCAACGGGCGATACATCACTGTACCCAACGGGCGATACATCACTGTTCCCAACGGGCGATACATCACTGTTCCCAACGGGCGATACATCACTGTACCCAACGGGCGATACATCACTGTACCCAACGGGCGTCACGTCACGTCGCTGTACCCAATCTCCCCTGCCCGCCTGAAAAAAGACTCTTCAGACGTCCTTGGACTCACCAACACCTGTGAGGTTGTAGCTGAGGTTTCCGACAGGCGTTACAACGCAATACCCAACCTCCGCGGTGCGTCGGAGGAAGGCGAGCTCGTCGGGGATGCGTTGCACGAGGTCGACGAGGGGGATGGAGGAGCGGTAGTAGTGCAGGTCGATCATCGTGGGGCAGTAGAGCGGCTGGCGCTGCTGCGGCTGCCCTGCCATGTCCGTGATCGGCCCGCCGTACTGCCGCTCAAAGGCTGGCCTGCAGTGGGAAGGAAGGGCGCGCACGAGAGAGGCACAGATGGTGGTGCGACGGGATGTGGTGCGACGGGATGTGGTGCGACGGGATGTGGTGCGATGGGATGTGGTGCGACGGGATGTGGTGCGACGGGATGCGGTGCGACAGGATGTGGTGCGACGGGATGTGGTGCGACGGGATGTGGTGCGACGGGATGTGGTGCGATGGGATGTGGTGCGACGGGATGTGGTGCGACAAGAGTGAGGAATCTGTGATTGGCAAGGATGTGTGAGTAACGGGCGTACGGAGTGAAGAGGGTGGGAGAGAGGCAGCAAGGCAACAGGACTGACTAGTGCAAGTGAATGCTTCCCAAAACGAGCTCTAAGGAGACCCCACTCACCCACCCACCCTCCCTCCCACCCACCCACCCACCCACTCACCCACCCACCCTCCCTACCTCCCACCCACCTACTCACCGCTCCTTATCAGTGACAAAGAGGCAGAGCATGGCCCCCGTGTTGCCCGGGCGGGCGTAACCCGTCTTGTTAATGTACTCGTCCCACCGCAGGCGAGTGAAGCACTTGTCCCACGTCCACTTGCCGCCGTCCCTCTTCGGCTTGCCCATCACCGCCACCAGCCCCGCGAATGTCTGCCAGATACGGAAAAGAGAGGTTCACACACAGCCACGGAGAAGGGCTGGTCAGTTAACAGGTTATTAGGGAGCCTGAAAAGCGTCCCTCCCATGGCTTGCCCATCACCGTCACCAGCCCTGCAAATGTCTGCCAGGAATGAGAAGAATGAAAGATTCACAAGGCTCCTGGGAGGGTGAGCAAAAAGCTCCCTGAGACGACCCTTGACGCATCTTGATAATCGCTTCCTAGCGCCCAAAAAAGCGTCCCTCCTCGGCTTATCCATCACCGCCACCAGCCTTGCGAATGTCTGGCAGGGATCGGAACGGGTGATACACATCGCTGCAGGGAAGGGTAGGTTAATAGGTTTGTGAGACGATTCTTTGGGGCCCTCCAAATTCGTTTCTTAAGGCGCTGGAAAAGCTTTCTGTGGGAAATCTTCCTCATCACGAAGATCTGGGATGGATGGATATGCATAGTTAATGTTAGAGTGGCTGATGGTTTGTAATAAGTTCGGTTTCAAATTTGCTGACGGTTGTGCGTGAGTCCTCCCGTGCGCGCGTCTGCAGAATATGTTGCCGTCCTGGATCTATCCAGAATGGATCACAGCAGGTTCACACTTCTCTCCATCGCACGGCTGTGCGCAACTCACGCGGATCTGGCTGACGGTGGTGAGAGTGTGTTGCTCGAAGAGCTTGGCGCGCTCGTAGCACCACGTGTCGAGGTGCTGCCACCGCTCGCTCTCGTACGACGCGTGCCGCGAGTAGCACAGCCACGCCGCCATGGACACGCCCGCCAGCACCCATGCTGCCAGGAGAACCGCGAAGATGCGGCCTGCTGGCAGGGGACAATTGGGAGGCGCGTTTGAACAATAAAACTGTCTGACGGAAGAAAAAAAAAGGAAAAGGAGAAACGTGAAAGCTAGCATGTATGCAGCTAGGAGATCAGCCAATGGGTCCTGCCGCGGGTGAAGGAACAGTGCGTGGTGACGCTGTATTATCAGACGGATGAGCTTCTAGGTTTGAGGCGAATCCTGGTGCATATTATGACCAGGGCGCGTAAAAGCTGTTGCATCCGAACTCACTCGGACGCGATACGACCACCAAATACTGATAATGAGACACGTGACGTGGCAACGCCATGAAACAGTTGGGTGAAAGCCCGCTGAAGCGGTTTCGGGCGAGGCGTGCGCGACTCTGGGCTGTTACAACCGACTGGATGAGGGGGAGGTGGTGATATCATGGTGAAACCCTAAACGTCGCACCTAGCAGCAAATGCATTACCACGCCGTCGTAGAGCATATAGTGCCACTAATACACACGCCGTCGTAGTGAGCCAAATCATAAGCGATATTGATGAATGGGAGCCTTTCGCACATTACTACCGTCGTATACGACGCTTCCGAAGACCGTTTAACGACGTTGACACGTTAAAACTGTAGCGTACCTCGAAAGACCACCTCCTGAATGGTTGTCTTGCTGCTCGAGCGCATTTCTAAAGCCATATCGTGAAAAAAATGCTAAGGCACGAACGCATCGAAGGTTTAACGTTGCACGCGACTGCTATTCAGCATAACCTCAAGGAAGAACGGCTGACATTCGTGCATCGTGACAGCGTGCCAAAGACCCAACTCCATAGCCTTTCTGATCTAAAGATACCTCTGTTGAAAAAAAAAGTACCTGTGGTGTGGAAACGATTTACGGCAACGAAGGATGCCTTGCCTGTCACTCGAGCAATTTGCGAGGCACGAACAACGGAGTGGGTAGCTTCGGACGTCCATCTGTGAAGCCTTGGACGGAGCTCGCATATCGCATCTGCAGTGAAATCGCGAATCTCATTGCATTCATGAAGTTGAAACGCACCGCGGTCACCAAAGCAACCAGCAGATCAAGCCGTTTGAAACTCTCACAAAGTGGCCAAAACCCACCGCAATCACCCGAACGTAACTACAGTTCCCTGCCCTCGAATTTCGAAAGTGACCAGGGACATCCATCCAACTGACGTCGGTGGGGTGGATGTCGAAGCACTTGACTTCCATCACGGAGCTGCAAATACTTGTTCAAGCAGGTGCGCAGCGGTTCAAAGTGGTAAAGAGAAGAAACCGCTTCAGAGCGCACAGCATCGTACTCAAAAGCTTGAATCCCAGCAAAACGTGGAGCAACTCCTGCGCTTAGATGGCTGGTCTGGAGGGCAAAACAAACCTCGTGCGGAATGATTTGGGCCTGAGGCTCCACTCGCACGCAGGGGTTCGTAGACGGCTGGCAAATGGTGTGCAGTGCACCCACTGTTGCGCTAGCATATCTTTTAGGTGCTGTTCTGTTGTTCTCATCGCCGCACCGCTGGTAAAATTCGTATTAACTTCAGGTGCCTTTTTGGCTGACTTGGCAACACATGAAGGCTCAGTTATAACCGAGGTAAACTTCTCGTTTGAACAACTCAAAGGTTCATACGAGCAGGAACAGTAAAACACGAGCGAATCCGCGACCGCTTCCGCGTGCTCGCGGAATCGATCTGCCCGCGGGCAAGAAAAAAATAAAACCCATCCGGAAGGCACGCGGCTCGGGAGGCATCAACCCTAAAAAAAAATAGGGTTGAGGCTCCCGAACGGCATGCCGGTCGCGATGGGGAATAGTTTTTTTTGCCCCCGGGCAGACAGCTTCCGCCGGCTCCGCGTCCTGGTGGAAACGACTTCCACCAGGAGGGGCACCTGGTGGATTCGAATCCACCAGGACTCGGATGGACTCAGCCAAACTTGGGTCTGCCCATCGGGAACCCGGTCTGGCAGAAATGTAAACGGAGGTTTCGAGAGACCCTTCATTCCTCCACCTACGTAGGTTTCGAGTAGCAAGGACTCTGAGAAAATATTTTCTTGAAATTTGATTTCGGTCGGTAGTTGGGCGTTCAAGCTGCTCTGAGTAATTTTTTGGCTTTTTGTTCCAGCCCCGTTATCAGTGGTGCGGGGGTGATTTCACCTCAAGAGGCCAAACCAGCGGTGCGGACCAACTGCCTGGCGAGGTATTGGCGTGGAACAAACGGGCGGTTCTAGTACAGTGTCACAAAAGTGCTGTTCTGCATGTTTTCTCGATTTTCTTGGTGCGCCCAGCTTCGGACAGTGCCCAACCTGAACCGACGCACCACTGGTGCAGATGGAAGAATCCGCGAAGGCCATTCTTGGCCAAAAGAACAGCGCCCTAGTTTTAGGCATACTGTACACCTGATGCACGTTTGAGTCCTCCCTACTTGGGTTATTCTCTGGGCTTATAAACGTTTTAGGCATTTCGCCCAGTTCGTTCCATTTCGCCAGGGTGTTGAGGTGCTTCTAAAAAACACAGGTTGTAACTCGTTTGTTTTTTCCAAAACAATTATGGTGGGCCTCTGTTGTTGTTAGTTCAGGGTTTAGGGGTTATACTTGTTTCTGGCCAAGAAACAAGAACAAACCAGGTCAGCATGGTTTGTTTTGTGCCTAAGATTCATACTTTGGCGTTTTCTTGCGGGTTTTTAGCTTATCGAGAAGTAACACCGGACAAAATTTGCTCCGAAGGCTCTGTTAGCGTTGCCAGAGAACAGTTACGTCCATTTTTTATATGAACGTGTTTACATATTATGCAGGTTATGAAGTCGAAACGTGATTGGTCGAAAAACGACACAACATTTATTTAGGGAAGTATCAACCCTAAACACCATGCGGCAAGGTGTTTAGGGTTGATCCCTCCCAAAAATACATCCGAAAAACCATATACCCTAACGGGAAAGGGATCCTGTGTTTAGGGTTGAGTGTCAGATTTACATGACATAGCTGTTCTAGGCTATAGTGGGGTAGCACATATGGGGTACAAGTTTCTAAGGTTGTATTTGTACCCAATCTTTCCTTAGTCATTTCATTCCTGTTCTTCAGTTTCACATGGTATAGAGCAGGTTCCCTGTGGGAACTTCGCCTAGGGCCCACCGAAGCGCGCCCCGAGGCGCGCGATTCTTTTTTTTAGCGACCCTCCGAGTCGCCCTGTCCCCTTGCGGCTCCGCCGCCCTTCAGACGCGGTCCCGCCGCCCTTACTAGCGGCCCAGCCGCCCTTTCTAGCGGCCCCGCCACCCCTTCGCGCGGCCCCGCTACCCAGTCGCGGCCCCGCCACCCAGTCGCGGCCCCGCCGCCCAGTCGCGGCCCCGCCGCCCGTTCTGATCGCGGCCCCGCCGCCCAGTCGCGGCCCCACCGCCCTGTCGCGGCCCCGCCACTTCGACGCGGCCCCGCCATCCCTTCGCGGCCCCGCCGCCTTTCTGCGGCCCGACCACCGCCCTACCAGCGGCCGTCCCGCTGCCATACCTGCGGCCCTACGCCGCCTCATCTGCGGCCCACCCGCCGCCCTACCCGCGGCCCTTCGCCGCCCTATCCGCGGCCCTTCGCCGCCCTACTTACGGCCAGCCGCCGCCCTACCTGCGGCCCACCTGCCGCCCTATCAGCGGCCCGCCCGCAGCCCTACCTTCGCGGCCCAGCCGCCCTACCTACACGGCCCCAGCAGCAGCCGAGCCGCCCAGAGCAACCGAGCCGCCCGGAGCCGACGAGCCGCCCGGGAGCCGCCGAGCCGCCCAGAGCAACCGAGCCGCCCGGAGCCGCCGAGCCGCCCGGGAGCAGCCGAGCCGCCCAGGAGCCGCCGAGCCGCCCAGCCGCAGCCGAGCCGCCCAGAGCAACCGAGCCGCCCGGAGCCGCCGAGCCACCCGAGAGCAGCCGAGCCGCCCAGGAGCCGCCGAGCCGCCCAGCCGCAGCCGAGCCGCCCAGCAGCTGTCGAGTCGCCCTGCTGCTGGGCCACCCGACCTGCCCTGTCTGGTGAGCACAGCATTGCCCTACTGCTACTGCGTGCCCTTCCCCACTGCTTGCACTGCTAGTCTGTCGTCATGGCTACCCCCAGTGTCCTAGCGTTTGACGCTGAGGGCAGAGCCATTGACTTTGAGGTCTGGGTCGATGACCTGCAGTTGTTTTTACAGTGCGATAGGGCAGACGGCCATTCTCTCTTTGACCTCACCTCTGTCGCCTCTCCTGCCCCTGCTGCTGATGCTGACCCCACTGTTCGCTCTCAGTGGGCCACCCGCGATGCTGCTGCACGTCTTGCTGTGCGTCGCCACCTCCCTATCACTGAGCGCGCGCACTTTATTCAGTACAAGAGTGCTCAGACCTTGTACGACGCTGTAGTTGCGCGCTACTCTTCCCCTGCCACTGCTGCACTGAGCCGTCTCATGCTACCGTACCTCTTTCCTGACCTCACTGCCTTTCCCACTGTCGCTGACCTCGTTACGCACCTCCGCACTAGTGATGCTTGCTACCGCGCTGCCCTTCCTACTGAGTTCTGCGCCAAGAACCCCCCCCCCCATGTACATCACTCTCTACTACGTAGTCGCACGCCTCCCTGACTCCCTTCGCGTAGTCAGGGACCACTTTCTCTCAGTCTGTCCCACCACCCTCACTGTCGACCTCCTCGAGAAGGCCCTCCTAGCGGCGGAGAAGAGCATCGTCGCTATAGGAGCTTCTCGTGGTGACCCTCGCACCCCCATCTTTGAGGGTTGCTCTCCTTCCCCCCTGCTGCCCTCTGTTGCCTCTGCTGCTGCTGCCGACCTGCTTGGTCTTGAGTCGGTCGACGCGGCGTCTGCCCCTAGTGGGAGACGCCGCTCTGGCAAGGGCAAGGGGGGCAAGGGCGCGGGTGGAGCTGGAGGGGGCGGTGGAGGTGGCGGTGGAGGCGGCGGAGGGAGTGGGGGTGGCGGCGGGAGTGGTGGCGGAGTCGGTGGTGGTGTTGGCAGCGGCGGAGGAGGCGGCGGTGGTGGCGGCAGCGATGGAGGTGGAGGCGGCGGAGGAGGCGGAGGAGGAGGCGGTGGTGGCGGAGGGGGTGGAGCTGGTCTGGGTGGTACCTCGCAGCGGAGCGGCTCTGGCAGTGGTCAGCGTCAGCAGCAGCAGCAGCAGCGTTCGCGGGACATCCCTCCGCCCCAGCAGCTCCGTGAGTGGTACACTCGGCGTTAGAGGGGTGGGGGTACTGGTCCGTGCACCTACGTCCTTCGTTCCGGCGACCGCGCGGGTGAGCAGTGTGGGGGTGCCCACCCCACCCAGCGCTGCTTTGGCCGCCTGACGGACGCCTGGCGTCAGCAGTTCCCCGAGGCTAGTGAGATTCCCAGCAGAGATGAGCTGTCTAGGGCTGGTGTAGCTATCTTCGATCTTGACTTTGATGCTATCTTTGCTGCTATCTACTGTATGCTGTGACTATTAGTGAGGAGGGTGACTGTTACCGGTGTTTCCCGTCCGACCCAAGCATTGGTACTGCTGCACTAGGTGCTTGTGAGACTGCTGCTCTAGGTGTCAGTGCGTCTGCACTCTCAGGTACTGGTGAGGCTGCGCTCTCAGGTACCGCGTCAGCTTCGGCCCCCCTCACTTTCACACTTGACTCCGGAGCTTCTCGCTCCTTCTTTCGAGACCGCACCACACTCACGCCGCTTGGTTGGCCGGTTGCAGTCTCCCTGGCTGACCCCTCT